TAAGTGCCCCGACCCTCCAAGTAGGGGCTTTGGGTTTAGGGCTTAAGGAGGTTTCCGGGGTTGCGAGTGTAAAAGCTTTGAGCCGGTCTGTTGTGCCTAGCATACCAGAATAACACGGGAAGCTGCTAAACCCTAAGCCCCAAACCCCAAACCCTAAAGCCTAAACCCCCAAACCCTAAACCCCAAACCCTAAACACCTAACCCTAAACCCCAAACCCTAAACCCCTAGACCCCAAACCTCGAACCCGGGTTTGCAGCTTCAGGCTTCAGAAAGTAACCGCATCTCCCTGAGTTTGACCGCATCCTTCGGGCCCTCCCCACGCAAGCGCAAAGCACACTTGACTTGAGTCCTAGCTTGGCGGAACTTCGCGCTGCAACCGCCAAGATGCGAAAGCGGGCCCCCGGCCCCGACGGCTGGACATCGCCCATGCTTCTCACGTTACCCCACTGCTGGTGGGTCCGATTCACTGCCTTATGGAATGCAGTGGTTTGCCTTGGTAAAGTCCCTTCACTGTGGCAGCGTGCACTTGTTGTTCTCCTGGAAGAAGGGCCAGCGCTCCTCTCGATAGCATGGCGCGCTGGCGCTCGCGCCATCGCCAAAAAGCTCAAAAGCTGGACTGCTGGTTGGTGTAATCACCGGGCCTGCGGGTCCGCCCCGGGCCGCTCGGTCGCGGACGTCCATCGGCGCATCTTGTATGCCTGGCGGAACGGCACCCGCTCATTTGTGCAGCAAGACTTGAGCGCGTTCTTTGACTCGCTCACGGTACCGGTGATTTCGAGGGCACTTTTGCATCTCGGAGCCCCGGCTTCTTTGATCAACTTAGTCAGCGGCTTTTATGCCACTCAGCTTCGGCTCTTCGTTGTCGAGGCCCACACTTCCGCTAGCTGGCACCCGGTTCCCAGCGGCATACTCCAAGGCTGCCCGCTCAGTCCACTTCTCAGCATATGCGTCGGATACCTATGGACATGCCACGTTGTATCTTCCAACACGGAAGCCGCCATATACGCACCCTTGTAAAGGACACCCAAATTTAGAGAACACCCCATAGAAGGACCCGTAGTTTCAAGAGCCGCACGGACAACTTTGGTCCGTGTCATTCTCGGCTCAAGTCGCGGCGATTGGAAAGTTTGCAGGGAAAGCGGTAGCCGCAAGCCCACTATGACTGTAGCTTAAGTATAGCAAGTAGCTGTACTTGGTGACTTGTGTGCGGAATAAAGGAGGATGCCTTCGATTTATCTTCGATTATGAGAACCTATACCCTAAACCCTAAATCGTATGATTGGGCTCGTCTGTGAAGAAGTGACAAAAGACTGGCCGTGCCTGGGAGATATGACGGCGTCCCTGGATGAGTTGAAGCAGGCGAGTGAGACGGTCAAGGGTTTAGGGCTTGACACTCCGACAAGAAACCAGCGAGTACAATGACAGACAGTTGAAACCTTGTTCCCCAATACCCAACCTTTTTCCTTTTTAGGTTCTTATAACTTAGTAGTAATCTGAGAGTTTCACCTGTTGTTTCCCTGGCTTATTGGGGAAGTAAGGAAAATACATTGATACGAACTTATGGGATTGGTGCGTCAGGCCGTTAATGTCATGGCTTCCTATCAAGGGGATTTAGGAACCTAACAAGGACATAAGAATAAGCCTTTTATAGGGATATCCCGACCTTATTGGGCTTTATTTATAAGGGGGTTTATATGGGATATC